TCAATGCGTTGCACTCGTCGCAGCGCGAGCAGACGCGCGCCGGTCCCCAGGAAGCAGCGTGGGCGGTTTTGCCCCGTTCGCCGGGACCCTCCGCTCCTGGGGCTGTGCCCGGTTTTCGCCTCCTCCTGCGTGCCTGCGGACGTACCCTGCACCCGCGATTGGTACGCACAACTAACCCGCCCGTACGCGAATCCTCTCCTGCACCTGCCACGGTTCTCCCTCTCTCTATTAATCTATCTGTTTCTCTTCTATCTCGCTTCACGCGCCTGCCTCCCTCTTCTATCTTTCTCGCCTTCGACCCTCTCACCCTCTCACCCTATTCCTCTTTCTCTTTTCCTCTCGCTTTCTGTTTAACCCTCTCTCACCCTCTCCTTCTATTCCTCCGCTCGTCTATTTACCCCCATTCCGCCTGCGCGTATCCTGTTCATCTTCGTCCACAAGCTCTCGCTACTCTCCGAGCCACTGTCCTATCTGTGTTCGAAGTTGACCACTGAGAACGTCGCCGAGGTTCGACTGCGGTTTTCGCCCTCGAGTTCCTCGCACGCTCGTGGCCGAACGAAACGCAGCCGATATTATCGCTCCATCCATGTCTACCCTATCCATCGGTACCATGTTACACGATCACCACGGGAAAGAACCTGGATGTTACAACGGTCGGCTCCATGCATTTCTAGCGAAGCTTCTGAGATCCCTCTGTGCGTTACACGATTCGTAGGTATTGTCAACCGTAACGTAACCAATGTTCTGCGACTCGGTAATCCTATCGGTGCAATCATATGCGTTCCGTGTGCTTCAGCACGATAACCCTACGCATAAGAGAGAACTTATATGCGTTTCTAAAAATGTGTCGCTAATCTTAGTTGTAATGTTCCGATTGAATCGCAGTCACTCCGCGTGTTCTGGTCGACAAACGGTTCAAGTGCGAGTGTACGTCGTAAGTCTCGTAAGGACACGGCGCGTCCTAAATGAGGATCTTCCACAGCGAGCAGCGGCGGCACGCGAATGGTAACTAACTACTAATAGCTGACAGCTCACGAGCCGCGTCGTTACTCTAATATTGACGCAGGGTTAGGAAGATGTTGAAAGCTCGTTAACAAACGATCCGCTGTTAAACGCGTCATCTTTCGTCGAAACATTCGTAGAACAAACGCTATGATCTTAAATCGCTTACGATTAGCGAATTATCGCATATACTTATCGTTACAAGTGAGTCTCGCGTGTTAACAGCTGAAAGGAATGTGAGTTTTGCGTGTCCTCGAAACGACAAGACCATTGGAAGTCGTAAGGTCACGTCGTGTCGGTGCAAGTTCGAGATCACACGCTGGACAACGGTTCCATGTCAACCGGGATGATCCTGTCGGACTCGCTCTAATTTGCAAAAAGAGACTGTATGTCCGAAGGAAAGTACAACGTTCGACGAGAGTTTAGAACGTAGCTTAGCTGGATTTGCGTGACCGGAGAAAGGAATTTGCGTATTATCCATTTTTGAGGGACCGTGGCCACGTGTACCATCTCTGCGTTTAATTTGTATTCAGGCCGGGTCCCGTGGCATCTTAAATTTCTTTTAGTCTTCGTGACGCTTATGCGCTGCTTCAACCACGTAACTCGTAACGTGCATTAATTTCAGATTACATCGAAAGCTATCAAGGCCGAGCGCGTCTCACGGCGTGCCTTGGATCGCATTGTACTGTTTCCAAGGATTCTCTCCCTCTCTCGCTCTGATCGTTAACTGCGTCAAGAGTGGATTAACGAATATAACGGTCGGTTTACATCTCCTCCGCAAAACATTCGCGGATCTTAAATGCACGTCTGTGAAGGGGTACTCTGTACTTCATTGAAAAGATTGCATTGTGACTACCCTTTTAGATAAGAGACACGGAGCCTCTAAAGATTGAAATAAAGTATTTACTCCGGTTTCTCGGTGGGATTGTGCCTTCTTCCAAATGTTTCGGTAAAACCAGGCGACGTTGGATTTTCCTTATTCGAAGTATACGGTCGAAGTATACGGAGAGGAGACGGTCGTTAACTAACTGTATTACAACGATGCCCCCGGTTCGAGAGATAAAAATCGTGGACAAAAGACGAGTGGAAGAGGAGGAATTAAAAGAAGCAGAATACTGTAGACTTAGGTGGTACGCCGACTCGCGTATACTCAAATGAAACTTTTCGTTTGCCGTGCGCGTCAAGAGGCCAGGCCTTTAATAAACTTCCCGGGATTTTCACCGAGCCGTTGCGAATAACTGTTACCTATTACCTGTCACGCGCACGCTTACGAGTTTATCAAGACCAGCGAGTACGTGTAACGTGGAACTAGGTCCAAGATGCGGACGTAAGAACAAAGGCCATCGCATGAAAGTTTCGTGTTGAACAAGAAAAATGGAAGAGGAAACTCGCGAAAGGGAATTCTCTGATCATTGTCACGTAGCCGTATCTTTCCCATGCCGTTCTAAAGGAAAGGGAAATATTCATCTTCCCTTTTTTGGGGCAATTTCGAATCGCACGATTCCGCGATACGGTTTGCTGGCAGCTTCGCATATTTGGCACTCGGACGACAATAAAGTGGAAAAACTCGACTAGAAGAAGGTAAAAGCTCGACGTATCGCAAGGGGAGAAAAAATAGCCGACGAACGAAGACGCTGCGGGGACGATTGTGACGCAAGTGTCTCTCCGGGGACGTCGCGATACACCGAGGGGGTCGGTGTCATTAACGAAGCGCGGTAGCATGAAGCGTCCTACAGTGTATCATCGACGTCGATGAACAATGGCCGGACCAGGCTCCGGAGTGTTATTCGAGCATCTAGTTATACACGGTTATTCAGAAAATTGTGCTTGAATGAAGTGTGCATCGCTGATTAAATAATACCGGACTGTGCAATAACGATTTCATCAATTTATTGCGCATCATCGATTGAACTTAACGCTGGCTCTATTAATTTACCGACATTGGGCCCAGAGGGCATCAATTTGTAGCCGTCGCGTCGGTTTGCTAACAGCACGTGCTATGCCAAATTGCGTGGCTGCGATGAATCGACGCCCCGGTCCGTGATACACGCGATCGCTCGTGTGCAATTTTCCATCTCAAAAATTGTAAATTCAATCAGGGTAAAGACGCGACTGTAAAAAAGAAAAGAACAAAAGTAAAGAAAAAGATTCTACACGCCGGCTATTGTTGCTCCTATTCTGTCTGAAGATTCGAACGATTCGCTATTTTATTCCAATCACGTTTTTTCAATGGAACGTCGTATCGAATCGAACATCTGAAGACCTTCCTCGGAACGGAGGAAATGAATTCGCGAGGACAACGTTCTGGCCACTGTGCTTCGCACCTCCTTCGCGAACGCAACACGATGCTATCGACGCAGCCGAACCGCGAAGGACTATCGAAATGCGAAATGTTTTCACTGCGTTCGACACGAAAAGCGTGCGTTAATAAATTTGGGAAATATCTGCAAATATTCGCTGATTGCCAAACCCAAACGTACAAACATCGCGCTCGCGGACAGAAAAAAAGGACTGAAAACAAACTCTGTCGAGAATTTGCTATCTTTCATTTTGGATTGTTTCGCGCTCGTACCATCGTATCGCGCTCAGACATGGCTGCTATACTGATTGGAATTATTTAGTACTGGATGAACAGTAATAATATAATAGGAGGAAATGTTCATGTAGCTCGTGCAAGCTTTCAAGTCTTACAACTATTCAACGTTTCATCGTTG